CACTTTTCATACTCCACAACTTCATACCATACTTGTACATACCATAATCATCACAACTTACACAGTTACACAACATATACACATATCATCAACTTTCTACATCTGTGGATATCTCACACTACATCAGAAGCTAGTATGCACATGAAAAACGTTCTCAAAAGATTTTATAAAAAGGTGTGGATCACTGGCCAAAATCCCGAGTAGTAGTCCAAGCACAAAATAGTTGAAGACAATACCTCATCCTGCCTTTAACTCCTCGCTCTGCCCACACCTAAGTACTTGCTACTGCTACTGCTGATGATCTGCTTACACATAGCATAAGCAGAGGAAAAGAACAAAAGAGAGTCAGCTCATAGCTGAGTGAGACAATCATCGCATAGTGAGTTCATAACCAGCATACCCCTACCATACATCTAACAATCAAGCCAAAGCACTAGGATCAGACCTCAGCTATCCGACATCCCAATAGGCAAAAGACTCAACCACCTTGACTTATGCATATGTGTCTTATCATGTTTTAATTATAGGCGCCTGGCTACTCCCATGCTAATTACTCTCCCGGGAATACGGACCAAACATCTCGTGGATGTGGTCATATCAGACCCACCACTGCTGGTGTAGTCATATCGGACCTGACACCACTCTGGGTGTGGTCATATCGGACTCAACACCACTCTGGGTGTGGTCATATCTCATGATGAATCAACGGTCAGCACCACATCAGTAGTGTGACATAACATATCATAACGGAGTAATAGCATGGGGAGCCCTATTTACTATGTAATTGACCATGAGACCAAATCACTCTTATTTGGTAATCTTACACATGATCCTTATCTCATCTTGCTTAATCATAATTCATTACTTGGACATGTTCTTGACCTGACCACAATTGGCTCAACATAACCAGGAGTCGTATAATTGCACTTCCTCGGGATAAACCCTCGTGCAAGTCATCCTCCTTAAACATCATAATATCACCCTGGGAAGTTTATTCCCCCACTTATGGATCCAAATACAACCATAATATCACATCATGTCAAAACACCTTATCGAACAAGTAGGAAGTCATATCAACAGTTAAGCCACAAATGGTAACATGTATGAAATCATCAGCATAAACAATGTCCATATCAATTAGGGCAAGTCAATTATATCATACAACAGTCCAGGGTTCAACATATAGCACAAAAGTTCATACACCCCTAATCATGCCATTCTAGTTCACCTAGGTCAATTCTAAGCATCAATATAATTATCGTGATACGACAAACCCGGTATGCCGTGCTAATCCCTCACCAGTTCTGGTCGTTCAAACACCGGTTCTAGCCTCCCGTACTAAAATGTCAATTTCACGAACGAACCCCGAATTAAAATCCGAGACCGTCCTAATATCCCCTGCAGTATCCCCGTCAATATTAGTTCTAGGCTCCGGGTCAAATTCTTGATAAAAACACATCAAACCCTGGCCGGAGCTAAATTCAGCGGTTTGGACCCCGACCTAAATAATAGCCGAAATTCACGGATTAGAACTAGAGGATTGATTACCTCGCTGCAGGAAGCTCGTATATGAAATTTGGGCTCAATCCGGCTTCCGGATACTCCGAAACCCTAATTTGGCTTATCGGGAATTTAAGAAATTCCTGAACCAAAAACTCGTTTTAAAACTCTAAATTGATAAATCACGATGTATAGATGAAGTAGGCATTACTTACGGGATTTTTGGATCACTTATGCTCAAGAATTGAGCTCTGGAATTTTTACCGAGCTCTCCCCTGTTCCTGCTCTGCTCGCGGTCCGGAAATGGAAAAGGAAGGGGAAAAGGGTTTCTGGAAAAGTAATGAGACGGGGAGGGAATTAAATGGACCGGAGTATATATATATAATTAATACGTATACTTATCCGATCGATTGATAATCCGATTTTCGTCGAAATAGTGTCGAAATGCTCGATTTTAAATCGCGAACTTTCTAACGATCGAAATATGGGTTTTGCCGGAACGGGATGTTACAATTCTCCCCTCCTTAAAAGATTTCGTCCCCGAAATCTAACCTTGAGTTGTACCCTTAGTCCGCTTACTTACCCTTGACCTGATCTATCGTAGATAAACCATTACCTAACTTTTAGGATAGGCGATTCATAACATAGAAAGTAACACATAACATCTCAAGTTCCCAATATAAGGTTTCAAAAACCTATACTGGGCTATCACAACAAAAGCACATCAACCAGTTCAAAAGCATAATTCACTAAGCCAAGTTATTAACCTGCAAGGTAGGTTGCCACTAACACAAGGTTATATCAACTTACAAAATGGTTACCACAAAATCATCCCGATTCATATCTCTATTCAAATATCTACCATCACAACTCATCATGTTAGCACAACCTTAACTCAACTGCATTGCATAGTTAGCCACCATGTTTCTCGATCAGTCGATCGGTTAGTAGTAACACTGAAAGTACTTCTGTGCAAACTACAAGGAAACATTGGCCTTAGTTTGATCCACACACCATTAAAAATTTCTGCCAAAATCATTAGTTGGACAACAAGATAAAAACTCCATAAAATTTTCAAAACCTTTTAAACCATAACTTGTTCAAGATTCCTTGAAATACTCAAAATCATGTTTGACCATATGCAACTGACTATGCAACACATCATCACCTTTGGTCCAAATCCTGGAAAGTTAAGTGCAAGTACAGGTATGGAGTACTCCCTCCCCTTACGAGGGTGATCAGTCCTCAAGAGTGAAAGTAACATACCCATAATGCAGAAAAACAAACCGGCTCTGATACCAAGCTGTAACACCCTACCCTATACGTATTACCTAATCATATTGTTCATACAATTGCAGCGGAATTAATCTCGGGTGTTACATTAATTATCAAAATTTACCCAAATAAAATTTTGACATGAGTTACTCGCGTAATGGGCTAACAGTTCTTGCAACTTATCCTGCAAAATAATGCTTCACAAACATATATACTCACAACCATATGCATTGGCTTTTCTTAGCCATAGTCACACTTTTCATACTCCACAACTTCATACCATACTTGCACATACCATAATCATCACAACTTACACAGTTACACAACATATACACATATCATCAACTTTCTACATCTGTGGATATCTCACACTACATCAGAAGCTAGTATGCACATGAAAAACGTTCTCAAAAGATTTTATAAAAAGGTGTGGATCACTGGCCAAAATCCCGAGTAGTAGTCCAAGCACAAAATAGTTGAAGACAATACCTCATCCTGCCTTTAACTCCTCGCTCTGCCCACACCTAAGTACTTGCTACTGCTACTGCTGATGATCTGCTTACACATAGCATAAGCAGAGGAAAAGAACAAAAGAGAGTCAGCTCATAGCTGAGTGAGACAATCATCGCATAGTGAGTTCATAACCAGCATACCCCTACCATACATCTAACAATCAAGCCAAAGCACTAGGATCAGACCTCAGCTATCCGACATCCCAATAGGCAAAAGACTCAACCACCTTGACTTATGCATATGTGTCTTATCATGTTTTAATTATAGGCGCCTGGCTACTCCCATGCTAATTACTCTCCCGGGAATACGGACCAAACATCTCGTGGATGTGGTCATATCAGACCCACCACTGCTGGTGTAGTCATATCGGACCTGACACCACTCTGGGTGTGGTCATATCGGACTCAACACCACTCTGGGTGTGGTCATATCTCATGATGAATCAACGGTCAGCACCACATCAGTAGTGTGACATAACATATCATAACGGAGTAATAGCATGGGGAGCCCTATTTACTATGTAATTGACCATGAGACCAAATCACTCTTATTTGGTAATCTTACACATGATCCTTATCTCATCTTGCTTAATCATAATTCATTACTTGGACATGTTCTTGACCTGACCACAATTGGCTCAACATAACCAGGAGTCGTATAATTGCACTTCCTCGGGATAAACCCTCGTGCAAGTCATCCTCCTTAAACATCATAATATCACCCTGGGAAGTTTATTCCCCCACTTATGGATCCAAATACAACCATAATATCACATCATGTCAAAACACCTTATCGAACAAGTAGGAAGTCATATCAACAGTTAAGCCACAAATGGTAACATGTATGAAATCATCAGCATAAACAATGTCCATATCAATTAGGGCAAGTCAATTATATCATACAACAGTCCAGGGTTCAACATATAGCACAAAAGTTCATACACCCCTAATCATGCCATTCTAGTTCACCTAGGTCAATTCTAAGCATCAATATAATTATCGTGATACGACAAACCCGGTATGCCGTGCTAATCCCTCACCAGTTCTGGTCGTTCAAACACCGGTTTTAGCCTCCCGTACTAAAATGTCAATTTCACGAACGAACCCCGAATTAAAATCCGAGACCGTCCTAATATCCCCTGCAGTATCCCCGTCAATATTAGTTCTAGGCTCCGGGTCAAATTCTTGATAAAAACACATCAAACCCTGGCCGGAGCTAAATTCAGCGGTTTGGACCCCGACCTAAATAATAGCCGAAATTCACGGATTAGAACTAGAGGATTGATTACCTCGCTGCAGGAAGCTCGTATATGAAATTTGGGCTCAATCCGGCTTCCGGATACTCCGAAACCCTAATTTGGCTTATCGGGAATTTAAGAAATTCCTGAACCAAAAACTCGTTTTAAAACTCTAAATTGATAAATCACGATGTATAGATGAATTAGGCATTACTTACGGGATTTTTGGATCACTTATGCTCAAGAATTGAGCTCTGGAATTTTTACCGAGCTCTCCCCTGTTCCTGCTCTGCTCGCGGTCCGGAAATGGAAAAGGAAGGGGAAAAGGGTTTCTGGAAAAGTAATGAGACGGGGAGGGAATTAAATGGACCGGAGTATATATATATATAATTAATACGTATACTTATCCGATCGATTGATAATCCGATTTTCGTCGAAATAGTGTCGAAATGCTCGATTTTAAATCGCGAACTTTCTAACGATCGAAATATGGGTTTTGCCGGAACGGGATGTTACAGTATTGCTCCAGAATCTGCTTGGCGCTTGTGAGCTCGGTCGTGGTTGAAGATAGTTGGTCTCTTAGCTTCTGGAGTTGATCGTCTTTCTCCTTTTTCATCGCTTCCACTTCCTCGTCGCTGTATTTATAACTCGTCGTCTTCTCGGATTTCTTTTTCTGTAACTCTCGCAATTCGTCCTCCGTTCTCCTTGATTTCGCGGCTTCGTCTTCCTTCTCCTGCCTCAGCTTCCGCAGTTCTTCATCCTTCTCGTTGAGCTTTCGCAGTGTCTCCGCCTTGTTGTTGTTTACCGTCTTCTCGATTTCTTCGTCCTTCTCTCTTCGCAGATTCCTTATCTCTTCGTCCTTCTCCAGCCTTAGTTTTTGCAACTTCCCCTCTATCTCCGAATCTGCTCGATTATTTTTCTTCTTTCTGAGAGTTTGCAGTTCTTCGTCCTTTTCTTTTGTAACCTTTTGCAGCTCCTCGTCCTTCTCCTTCCTTAGCTTTTCCAGTTCGTCGTCCTTCTCCTCCAGTCTCTTTGACATTTCTTCATCTTTCTCGTTTTCCAACTTTTCGAGCTTGTCGTCGTTTTCCTTCCTCAACTTTTCCATCTCCTCTTCCGACTCATTCCTCAACTTTCGCAACTCCTCTTCCTTCTCCCTCTGGAACTTTTGCAAAGCAGCTCCACCATCTTTTCCTTTCCTAAGTATTCGCAATTCAGCATTCTTCTTCTTTGATAGTTCCCGCAACTCCTCGTCTTTCTCCTTTCTTAACTTTCGTAGTTCTTCATCTTTTGCTTCATTCAGCTTAGCCATCTCTTCTCTCAGCTCATCTTCCTTCTCCTCCCTTAGGTTTTGCAGATCGTCGTCCGCCTCCTCTTTCAGCTGCACCAATTTCTCGTCTTTCTCTTTCACCAGCCTTTTCAGTCGCTCGTATATCTCCCTAGTAAATGTGTTGCCTCCTTCTGTCTGCTTCGACCGCTGACCATGCCTAGGCTCATGGTACTTCAACTCGGAACGCCCCCAAGCGATAGTTGTGGCGAGGCTGACTCCATGGTGTGGCCAGCTGAACAAATCATTCAACCGAAGGTAATGAATCCCGAAATCTGCATACTCCCCCAGCTCGTTCACATCTTGGAAGCAGAGCCCTCCAGGGCTCACCATCAAACTCAGCAGCTTCAAGTGTTGTGCCAGCTTTGTCAACGCTACCCTTCCCTCGATCTTTCCATGACCATCGAAGAACAACAATCCGTCGTACATCTCTGTTGGCTCCACCATGTCATCATCTTCGCCGTCTTCATCATCAATGCTGGTGCTGATGTTTGCAACTTCCCTCCAATGAGTCTTCCGGATGGAAGATGGATGAGTAAGAGTTGGTTTGGTCAACTCATAGACTTGGAGGTTGACTCCATCGGATGAAGCAACAAAGTGTTTGTTGGACTTGAAATCAAAGGGAGCCATTTGGATGTGTATTGGAGTAATGAAGAGCTATCTTGGGACTGGAATGTGAGAGAGGTTTATATGGCGCATTAGGCTTGATGAGGGTGCTTCTCCTTACAGATTTCTGGGCAGCTATATTGACCATCGGCACATTGCATCAATGAGATTAATGGATTAAAAAAATGCATAATTGAGAAGAAACGACAGTCTGCTAGCTAGTCATTGTTTATTAATTAATTTCTGCATAAATAATTAGTGGTTTGTATTTTATCTTTGGTTTTGGACTTTCGGCAACAACGTAACAAAGTCTACTATAGTCATTGTTTATAATTAGTTTCCTATAATTAATTAGCATTTTGTACAATGCTTATAGTAATTCCACTAACATATATGATATATAAAAAAAACAGCAAGTAGCTACTAACCAATAATTCAACAATACTATGCTACCAAAAAAAAATTGATAATAATTCAAAAATACTATTCTCAACGACTTGGATTAATAAATACCACAATTATACTATATGGTTATATGCTAGTCATTGTTAAATCATTTGTAGAGGTGATTCTGAAGCAAAACCAAAACAAAACAAACTAATCAAGTAATTATTAGAAAATAAAAAGACCTCTAATATATATATATTAAGAAAGACATTGTTAGTCTGATCAGCATCCATCCTTCACAATGTGTGACTACTCCCAACACTATAGGCACCACAGTCAAAAAGAGAACATAAGTGTGATACTATAGAAGTATCATCTAGTTACACGGGTGATCATCACTCAAATTTCGCATCAAGTTCTTAACACCGAATTGACATGAGCTCACGTATTTATACTAATCTCTCGATAATTTAGTAGGGTTGTGTTTCCAAAAAAAAAAAAAACTTTTGTTCAATTAATTACAACAGGTGATATCAGAGTGCATCCTTCCATCAAACCAACCACAAGGTGTAGTGTTTGTTTTTGTTGAAACCATGAACCAATGTTTGGCTTGGTATTTAATAATTCGTGCTAACTCTGCCACTAAGGTTTTTTTTTTATTATCTAATAACATGTTGTGATCTTCATTAAGTAATCATTTACATCATTCAATTGAAGCGGTTCAAGCTAGAACAATCAAATCTATCTACCCATTATTCAAGTCTATCATATGTTATTCTTTAGGATATGAAAATCAAATTGAAAAATTAATTTATAAATTGAAAACGAAGAGGACATGACATGAGTGTATGAATTAAAAATGAGAAAGAAAATATCAAAATAAAGCACCCCTTAGTCCATCTGCAAACTAATTGGGCTAGGCTCTGCATTATGAGTGGGCCGCCCACCAATCTCTTTATTTCGTGTATTGTGAAACTGATGATCCAGCGGGCTTTTACGATCTGGGCTGAGTTTACATGAACGAAGCTACAGGTTAATGATCGTTAGTTTTGGGGATGGGGAAATTTTCTCCTATTCCCATTTAATTTATGTTAAAATTTTGTTTAAGTTAATCGATTCTCAAATGGCGGGCTTAAAATTAATAATTCTCCCTAAGGTGACATACAGCGTGTCGCAATTTTCAATTAAAAAGTGAATCAGATTCTTAAATCTTGAGACTAATCGCTAATAATTAATATTCTATTACTCCTAGTCTGAATTTGATCACCTCCGAAGTTGCCAGTGAGCTGCTAAATCCTCCTTTACTAATAATACTTGATCGGTAAATCGACTCTTTCCCCTTCGCCGCCGGAATGTCTCTTGCTCTAGGAGTCAGGCTGATTTCCCGGCCAGCAACTACTTCTGATCTCTTGTTTCCTCCCCAGCCTCATAACGGAACCCATTCCTCCACTCTCACCTCACCGGCGCAAATTCAACCCCCGGGAAACACTCACAGAGGCGGGATTACGGCCCGCGGCGGAGCAGATCCGATCGACTCCAGCTTTGGCCTCAGCCTATGTCTTCAAGCCTTCCGCTCGAGTAATACCCCCGGTAGCTGCGGAAAGATGATGAAAAGGTTTTGCCGGATGTATTTCGGGAGACAGAGCTTCGCGGCGGCGGCCGGTGGTGCGGGGTCGGGTCATCCGGCGGAGGAATCCGATCTTCACCTGAACGGGTAAGGGTTTTGAGATCTCAGTCTAATTGAGAATCGGAAAAAATGAATTCTTGTAATTTCTAAACAATTAGTTAGCTGCCAGCAGAGATGGTGGCGGGGACGGGGGCGGTGGAGGAAAAGAGGGCAGCGGTGGGAACGGAGGCGGTGGGAGTTTTGACGGCGGCGATTTGAAATTGGAAGCGTTTTCGCTGTGGTGGTGGTGGCAACGGCAGTCGCAACCCGAAACTGGGAAGAAAAGGTTCGAAATTGATATGCCGATGGAAACTGGGTGGCGGCCGGAGAAGAAATTTTCGGAAAGGGGGGAAAATTCGAACAACGGCGAGGAGCGGCGGAGGTGGTGGCGGCGTCTTTTGGGGAACCTGAAGAAGGCGCTGGGGAAAATCCCAGGGACCCTTCTGGAAGCAATTCTATTGCCATTCGTTTGGACAGCCATATTAATATCGGAGCCAGCATCGCGGCGGTTTCACCGGCAGTGTTTCCGGCCATTCGTACCGTACCCAATTGCCTTCATTCGGTACTTCCATAAGTCGTTTGATTATGTTATGACCGTCACGCTTCTACTGATGTCGGGCACATCTCTGCTGCTCTTAGCGCTTCTGTGGTGGTGGGCTTGGCGGTGCCACCTCGGTGGTGACACTGACTCCGCCGGAGACGACGGCGTTGTAGATCAACATTCTCAGGATGATTACGACGGCGACGAAGATTGACTTGTAGCCGTTTCGCCTTTTACTAGTTAATTTTCATTGAAGGCCTGTAGTGTTTTTCTTTTTTTCGTAACGGGTTCTGTTATTGCGTTGTCTCGATATAATTTGGATGACGAAGTCGTTACAATTATGAACATTTTACAACAATTTCAGTTATTAAAACTAGTTGATTCATAAATCATAACATGATATGAGAATTGATATAATTGTGAAAGCATTGTGTTAAATACTACCAACTTCTAATATTACTAGGTAGGTCTGGATTCGAGTGACATTTTATTATCAGAATCAAGTCATCGTAATAATTGGGTCTTGTTTTGGATAGTATGCTTTATTGTTTCATTGTTCAAGTATGTTTGGGAATACCTCTTAGTACTTGTTTAAGGGTTAGTTATTGTTTCCTTGTGGTAGAAGTAGTGAAGTACTCATGTTTTAGGTAGGAGAAAGAAAAGGTTTTATGTCTATAAATATTTACTAGTTCATCCATTTCATGTTATGAGAATATTGAAAATTCAATAGTAGTTTGTAGTTTATCCCTCTTTCATCTCAATTCTCTTCGTTCGAAGTCGGGGTCGGATACTATGCTAACCCCTAAAGGGGTAGTGGTTTTTGACACCCTCCTCTTGATTGGTCACTTTTCCATTTAATCATTTGATAAGTTTTATTAATGAAAGTTGATTTTTACTTTATTTATTGTAATCTTGTAAATTGGGAAAGCCTTAATTGTGATAATAATTATGAATGGGGAAGGAGAAAAACGTTGGAGGAGGAAAGTGCCTTTTCAACTCCTATATTTCCCATATTCCCTCCCGAAAAAATAGCAACCCATCCCTCTCCTCTACAGAAATCGATGGTGGCCGGAACCCATCGAGTTGCTTGCCGACTGTGGGATCGCCTTCGACTCTCAAGGCCTACGAGAGAGCCCAGCAGATGCTCAAGGACCTCAAATCCGAGAAGATGAACAGCAAGGCAGGGGGGATGTAGCTGAATGGAGCAGATTGTTCGATGCCTTTCTGGGCTCCTCTTCCATTTGGCAGCCCCAGCCTTGCAACAGCAAATCATCGCCTTCTAATCGGGATGATTTCGACGATGAAAATATCAACAGGGCCAATACCACAGTAACTAACTAACTAACAACAACAACAACAACAAAAACGTGAAGAAGAACACCTAGGGGTTTCTCGTCGGCGGAGAACCCGTCGGAGATGAAGAAGAACGTGAAGAAGAACACCTGGGTTGTTTCTCGTCGGCAGAAAAAAACGCACCAATGGAGTGGTACGTGTACCAGTGGAGTGGTACGTGTACCAGTGGAGTGGTACGTGTACCAGTGGAGTGGTACGTGTACCAGTGGAGTGGTACGTGTAACCATATGTCCTGTTTAGGCTTAAAAAATTGTGAAGACTTTATGTTTATTCACATTCGAAGGATAATTTATTGCTTTTGGCATTGTTGTTGGCATTTCCCTAATTTTGCAACCCAATTTGGAACACAGTTTTTGGCTACTAATGGAAAGTTCCTTTTTTTTTTTTTTTTTGCATTAAGGGGAGGCCAAGGCCAAAAGAAAAAGAGGGAATTACAGGGAATTACAAGGAAGAAGCAGGACGAGTAACGACTCGCCGCTCAAAAGTAGTGCCCATGATATCATCTCTAAGAATCGGCTGTAAGCCAGAAGGAGGGTCCGCAAGTTCATGCATACCGTAGGGATAGACGAGACTGTGCTTCGAGAGCCAGTCCGCGGCTCTATTCCCTTCCCGATATGTATGAACAATGCGTACCATCCAATCATAGCTCAGCTTCCTGCGAATGACAGAGAGGAGAGTAGCATAAGGATGGATCGGGTCCAACCTGCTTTGAATAAGCTGGATGGCTAAAAGGGAGTCCGACTCAACAGTGAGAATCCGTTGTCCTATCTTCCATGCCAGCTCAAGCCCATAGTTAAACGCCCACAATTCCGCAAGAGCAGCAGTAGCTTCTCCAATATTTGCCACAAAGCCCCCTATCCACCTCCCGGTCGAGTCGCGGATGATGCCTCCTGCCCCAGCTTGCCCCGGGTTGCCGTTAGAGGCCCCATCAATGTTCAGAGTAACCCATCCCTCCTGAGGAGGAGACCAACCAATACTCGCCACGGTCCTCTCCGCTGGTTGCCTCCTGTTGTCAAGCATAATGGAAGGGGCATTCCAAGAGTTGTGCCAGATTTGAGTTCTCACCTTGATCGAGTGCGCCAAGGAAGAGGGAGATAGAGCAGCCGCTATCCCTTTGAAGGCTGCTGTTGATCGATTTTTCCAGAGTAACCAAGAAGCCATACTGAAAAAGGCCGACCAAGGAATCCCGGCGTCAGTGGCTTCATCACAAAGAAGGTTCTCCCTTAGCCACTCGTCTTGACTGTAGGAGAAGAACCTCGGCTGCTTGTGGTTCGGGACGACACGACTCCAGAGATAGAGAGCCGGAGGACAGTCTCTCAAGATGTGGAGGATTGTCTCGGGCTGATCTGTACATCTCAGGCAGTGAGAGTTCGAAGCCACTCTTCTATTATGTCGGAGAAGATTAGTAGCTATCTTCCCAAGCATTGTTAGCCACATAAAACTTCGAACTCTTTCTGGCACAGGCAAACGCCATATCACCTTCCATATCTTGTCATTTGAGGCCGTCTGATCTTGAGTGAGCAGGGAGTAAGCGGACTTGACCGAGAAACGCCCATCAGCCGAGGCTGTCCAAAAAAGTTGGTCTTCTTCCTGCGAAATTTTATCCACCGCAATACTCAAGATTTTCTGCACAACATCCGTGGGGAGTAGCTCGGAGAAGAGCTCAGTGCGCCATCCGCCGTCATCTCGAACAAAGGCTGCAATAGGTGCCGTCAATTGCTCCTCAGGGATAGCTCCTTCCGCCACTTCCTGGAGGGGAACCTGCAAAATCCAAGGATCCACCCAAAATTTAGTCCGTTTACCATTCTTAATGTTCCACGCACATCCTTTTTTAAGAAGATTAGCAGCTTTAGCAAAGCTGCTCCAGGTGAAGGAACTTCCCTGAGATGGGCGTAGAATGTCGAGATCCTGTCGTCGCCGGCCGTACTTCGCCACCATCAACTTAGTCCATATCAAGTCTTTGTCCTTAAGAAGCCTCCAGCCACTCTTAGCTAGCATAGCAATGTTTGCTTGTCTTGCAGGCCTGATTCCCACTCCTCCTAGCGACTTTGGCAAACAAAGACCCTCCCACGCCACAAGATGCATCTTGGCCTTGTTCTCCTCGTCACCCCAGATGAAATCCCTGCTAATTTTATCAATACTATTGCAAACACCACAAGGGATTAGCTCAGTATGCATATTATAAACCGGCAAAGAGGCAGCCACCGATTTGGCTACTGTGAGCCTAGCAGCAAAAGAAAGCCGCTTGGCTTTCCAAGGAGCCATCTTCTTCTGGATTTGGAGGATAAGTGACTGGTATCTGCTTTTGGTCACCCGTTCCTGAATCACTTGAATGCCTAGGTAGCGCCCCAAGGCAGCCTTCAGAGGAATCCCAGCCCTTCTGCTCAAACGGGCAGCCTTGTCTCTAGCAACATTGGGCGAGACATACAAGATTGATTTGCTATAGTTCACTCTTTGTACCGAACTGGAGCAGAAGTCAGCAAGGCACTCCTTCACAATGCTAATCTGGCGGCTTTCTGCCTCAGCAAACAGTAGGAGGTCATCTGCAAAGAAAAGATGCGTGAGGACCGGACCATTCACGGAAAGTCTAATGGGTTTCCAATGGCCACTAGTCACAGATTCATCAATTTTATGAGACAGACGCTCCATGCACAAAACGAAAAGGTAGGGAGAGAGAGGATCTCCCTGGCGCACCCCTCGGGATGGGGTGATGGGTTGGGAAAGCTCTCCATTCCATAAGATTCTCATCCTGTTCTGCTCCACGCAATACATAATGCAGTTTATCCAAGTACTTGGCAGGCCCACTTCCTTGAGAGTCTCTCTCAGAAAATCCCATCTCAGCATGTCATAAGCCTTCTCAAGGTCAATTTTGAACACCAAACCCCCCTTCTTACCCCTCCTCTTGCGAAGAGAGTGGAGCACTTCTTGAACCACTATGATATTATCAGACGTCTGTCTACCAGGGATAAAGCTGCTTTGCCTAGGAGAGACAAGCTTTCTCATAAGTGGTTTCAACCTGTCCGTCATGGCCTTCGTGATTGCCTTGAGGCTGACATTATTTAGAGAGATTGGTCGAAGCTGAGAGACTCGCTCCGGGTTGTCCACCTTAGGAATCAGAACGAGGGTGGACTCCGAGGTGGTTGCAGGAAGGGAGCAAGTAGTGAAGAAAGATAGCACCATCTCCGTGAAGGTCTTCCCTATGATGCTCCAAAATTGCTGATAGAAGATGGCATGGTAGCCGTCCGGACCCGGAGCCTGGAAAGGCTTCATCTCGAAGATCGCTTTGTGGATGTCCATGATGTTGAAAGGCCGAAGAAGCATGAGGAGCTCCGTCTGGCTCAGACGAGGAAGACGCCCTTGGGCATTCTGTCTTCAAAGGGAGAATCATCCTGCAAATACACGTTAGTAACACAGTTGAAAAAATCAGATTAGCAAGGGATTGAGGATCCGTCACCCAATTGCCATCGGCATCCTGCAAGGCTTTGATTTTGTTGCGGCGACGACGGATGTTGACTTGCTTATGGAAATAAGCAGTGTTCCTCTCCCCAAACTTCACCCACTTGTCCCGCGAACGCTGGTACCACAGAAGTTCTTCCTGTTCAAGAACTTTGTCCAGCTCCGTTTCAAGCTTCTTGTGCAACTTGGCTAGGCCAGGAACAAAAAGGCTAGCGAGTCTGTTCTCAATGCCCTTAATACGGGCTATCAGCCGATTTTTCTTCCTCTGAACATTCCCAAACGTGCTGTAGTTCCAATCTGTCAAATTTCCTGCAAGTTGAAGCATAGCGTCTTGGAATGGGACTTGGTTATCCCAAGACTCCTTCACAAAATCTTGGAGACTGTTATGGGAGAGCCACGCAGCTTCAAACTTGAAGGGACGATTGCTAGGATGATTGGAGTGCTGTTGAGTAACTGTAGTCAGAATGGGATTATGATCAGATTGACATCTGGGGAGATGCTCGACAGTTGTGTTGGGGAAGCTTGTGTTCCACAACACATTGCAAAAACTTCTATCCAGCCGGCTGGCTTTGTACGTATGACCTTGATCCCCCCGACTCCAAGTGAATCTCGGTCCGGAGAAGCCTAAATCAATGAACTCTGCCAGGTTTATTCTGTCGTTGAAAACCCTGCATCTCCTCAAGGTATTACTAGCGGGAGGGCCGGACCTCTCATCCAGACTTCGGATTGCATTGAAGTCCCCCGTGATAAGCCAAGGGATATCAACCCGCTCACTCTGCCCGATCAGGCTATCCCACAGGCCTCGCTGCTGGGCTTGCTTTGGGGAGGCATACACTGCAGTCAGCAGCCACGGGGCTGCGTTCGCTTGGGACACCATGAGAGAGAGTTGCTGCGAGCAAGCCGAGAATAAGGAGACAGTGAATCTGCTCGCGTCCCAGAACACCCATATACCCCCGCTCCTGCCTTCAGCTTCGACTCTAATCGAATTGGGGTATCCGAGTCTGTCGCACACCAAATTGGCCGCCTCGCCGCTGATCTGCGGCTCAAGCAGGATGACGAAATCCGGGCGGTACTTCTGAACAGTCATTTTGAGCACGCGGAAGAAGGCTCTCCCCCCCTGCTCCTCCAACATTCCAAGAAAAGAAGGAAAAATTAGATGGCATCGACATAGACATAAATAAAGATAGGAAGAAAGAAAAAGAAAGGAAGAGGCGAAGAAACAAAAGGGGTCAGGTGAGGATGGAGGTCGCTCCGGTCGAGGTCTCGCCCCCGAGGATCTCTGAATTCGTCCCTCCACCAGCTTGTTTCGCCAACTTTGCCGCATCCGTCCAGGCAGTAATCTCCTGCAGTGTTAAGGATGCCATCCTGGACTTCGTCTTTGCTTTACGCTCTTTGGTTGGCGTCCAAATCTGAAGGGTCTTGGAGGGGTTTAATTTTGTCGGCGACTTCCTCCCATGGTGGTGCTGATTTTTCTTTCGCTTCGTCCTGGCCGCTGTCGACGGTGAGGCTTTTGGTGATAAATTTCTGTTCTTGTTTTCCACAGGTGATATCTCCACGACCTGCATCTGCGTTCCGTTTGGGCCAGTAATCGTATGTGTTGGAGGTGGAGAAGACTGGCCGACGTGTTTCGGCGAATGGGCTTCGCATGGGCTATTGTTTTCTCTGCTGGGGTGGGCTGTTGATGGGCCTTGTCCTTTTTCAGTGTTATGAGTCGAAGAGGAGGCCTTTTGGGAGTCGCTCGTGGGCTTCGGCCCATTGGAGATCAAGACATCACGCCCAGGTCTTTCCCCCAGGATTCCTTTGCCGCCAGCCGCTTCCTCAAAACTCGCCTTTCCTTTCCCTTTCCTTGCCTCTTCTCCCGCGTTCCTCCCGTTAGCCACTTTCCTATCATAGGTAGCAGCCCGTTGTTGCAGGGAATCGCTGACCAATGTCTGTTTAGGAAGGTAATTTGCGGTTTCCTTAACCGGAGAAGAGCTCCTCCCCAAATTACTAATAACGGTTCCTGACGGGTTTCCCAAATCACTCTCGGGCTTTCCTTTTTTTTGGAAATCCCTTGGATTCCGCCGGCTCTTTCGCGTGACCATCATCCATGGCCCGAATCCCGCGTTCGGTTCTGAACTCGTCGTCGGCTGCGCCGTCGTGTTTTCGCCGCCGGTCAGCAGCAAAGCAGGTGGAGGCGAGGCCAAGGAGACCGTGGGACAGGTCTCTGATGAGTGGCCGATCTTCCCGCATTCGAAGCACACCGCAGGCAGATTTTCATACTCCACCTTCTGCCACTCGTCATCGAGCCAGATTCGGGGAATTAGGTGCTTAGAGAGATCCACTTCAACCGCTATGCGAGCAAACTTGGCGCGTTGTCGGTTGAGAGTGTGGAAGTCCAACTTAACTGTTCTTCCAATCAAATTCCCCAGCGTGGTCAGAACTTCCTTATGATAGAAATGAACCTTCAGTGCTGGAAGCTGGACCCATACAATCATGGTTTTGGGGAGCGGATCGGAAACTTTGAATTTAGGCGTCCATTGATGAACGACCAAATAGTGGTCGAAGATCACCCAGGGGCCGTCTGTAAGGGCTCTGAAGTAGTCCTGATCATCGCTTAATTTCACCAAGAAACAATCGTGGTCAAGATCCATAACCTCCATCGTCCCTACCGGCTTCCACATTCCTTTTAGCCGGGCGCAAATCGTGGAGAAGCCAATCCGAGTACCCAAGAGCCTGACCACCAGAGTTCGTTGCCATGGGGCGCATAATCTATTCTTGAAGTCCGTCGAAACTCTCAGCGCAGGTTCCCCGTTCCGTTCTCCCGGGATGAGATCGTGTTCCCCAACAGGGGACCAGTTGTTCGCCGGGCTTGGAGAGGAAGTGGGTTGTTTCCACCCTGTCACCGCGCTGGCATAGGAGAAAGGTTGTTGTGGTTTCCCTGCCTTGGCAAGGTCCATCGTCTTTTCCATGTCTGTCACGATCTGCTCACCATTCTCAGTTGAGATTTGTGTCGATTGTTGCTTTGGATCCGCGATCACATCCAGAATCATGTCCGCGGCGCTAGTGCCGAGAGCGACCATTGTTTGTTGCGTACAGGGAAGGGGGTCCCCTGAGGCACGAGTTGACTCCGGTGGCCTGTCCGGGGGAACAAGCACCAGTGACGGTGTCGGAACGTTGGTTTCGCCGGTACCAGTTGAGAGCATTTTCACAAATATTTCTGAAAATATAGTGGCTTCCTATTATTGTTTATCATTGTTATGAAAAATATTATTGCACTGGTATTGTTCTCACTCTAACCTACCTTGTGGATTGCTCGCACCAGTGGAGTGGTACGTGTACCAGTGGAGTGGTACGTGTAATTAATGTACCAGTGAGAGAAATTAATTATGTAATTAATGGGGGTGATTTCGTTTTTCCCCAGATTCTTTCTCTTTTCCAATGTGGTGAGAGACCCCAAATTACAAGATTAAAAAAAATAAAAAAACCAGTTTAATTAATACTTGCCAATGATTGGAAATAAAATTGGCCAATCATAAAGGGGGTGTCAAAAATCACTACCCCTTTAGGGGTAGTCACGCTAACTGAACCCTTCGAAGTCTCTTTATTACGCGTGAAGGTTCTCACCGGATAAATACAGGTAATACATTTCACCCCTAACTACAACTCATACGCTTATTTTATTTCGAGTGTATGAACTGATTGAAATAACTTTTAAAAAATAGTCAAATTTCATATACAAGATTTCTTAGACAAATTGATTCTTGCATAAACCCAATTTGGCTATTTCCTAGTGTTGAAAGGAGCAGCGTGTGATACAAGGCAACTCTCCGTTTCTTAAACCGTCCCCCTCCCTGACTTCAATCCCTAATTCTTCACAGGAAACCGTAATTCCTACCGTCCACCGCCGCCGCCATGTATCTCGCTCTACGCAGGCTAGCTTTCCTGCCGGCGGCAATTAACTCCTATCGCGCGCACCACCGGCCCGACAACCCACCACCAACCCTTTCCCCCACCCTGAGAGTTCTCACCCAATTCAGGGGAGGCAGCCACGGCGGCGGCGGAATTAGGGTTCGTCATCCACTCAATTCCAGCTTCGGTCTCCATCTGTGTCTCGACAAATCAATCCCATTCGATCCAAATTACTCCACGCAGAATCGCTGCCGGAACACATTGAAAAGAATAACGTTCGCCCGGGCCAATTTCGGCAGACCAAGTTTCGCGGCTGCGGCGGCGGTGTCGGGCCTGACGGAGGTGCTAAACCACGGCGAGGGGTAAGTAATTAAGCCTTCAAAAATCTCATAAAGAAATCTCCATATCGAAACCCCTGATAATATTTAATAATATATATATATATATATGATACTCATCGGCTTCTTCAGATACGGTGGCGCCGCCAACAGAGGCGGAAGCCGGAGTTCCGCCGGCGACGGTCTGTTCTCCATAGCAGCACAATGCATATTTTGGTCGTGTTTACTTGTATTAGTAGGACAGGTACCGGCGCCGATGTTCAATCCCTCTGGTATGTCCGGGAGCATCATCGAGATTTTGGTTCTGATACTCTTGACCGTTTGGATTAATGTGATGGTCGGGATTGTTTGGACGTTCATCAAGGGATGCCTCTATATTGCCCTGGTGCCGCCGCTAGCATGGTCGTTGTGGCGGCTCTGCCGGTGCCTCTGGCGGCGGTGGACTTCCCGCCACAAGTGGTGGCGACCAAGGGGATGAAACAAGGAGGAAAAATGGCGGTAGGCAACACCTCGCAGTTTTTTTTTTTCTTCATTTTATTAGCAATCGTTCTTTCTTAATAACTGGGAATGTAGATAGAATATACAAATGAATACAACTCTGAAGGTTCGTGATGAATTTTAGCTGTGCTTGGTAGGATGACTTCTTTTACGATCTTCGATTCGGGTTGAACTAGCTGCTGCTGCTGCTGCTGCTGTTCTTTGGGCAATTCTCTTCTGTCGCTGCAGTGCTAGTTCCTCGATCTTCTTCCTCGCCTCTTCCGCCTGTTATTTAATGCACATAATATGACACATGCTAGTACAAATTTCAAGTTCATCATGAACTGACTCTCGTTTGAAATTATATATAAGAAAGTAGTTCATTTCCATTATTCCATATACAAAACTTCTAACGCGCGCCATGAAAAAGATGAAGTCAAAAGAAATTCAGGAGGAGATGGAAGCGAAATTTATTCCTATAGATCTACCCATTCCAGGGGATCCTTCTATCCACCAATAAATAGGAAAGGGTTCGTCTTAGGGACTCTAACCCCTAGAACTCGAACTTTTTTTTTATAATGGTGAATCATTTATTAAAATTTGGAGAAATACAAAACAAGAAGAGAAAGAAGGAGATTGTTAAAGACTAGGCTTACAAACATCGAGCAGCCCAAACCAACAGTCTAGATGATAAAGAGAAGAAGCATAAAACACAAACAAGAAAGGCATAACGACGGTGACGGAGACTCAATGGATGAGGCCTCGAGAGTTGTGCAGACTCACGGGAAAGCCCTGCTATATGAGTTCGGCCTCTCTTGTGCTGCTGTTGGCATAAGCCTCATCTTTAGAGTCCTCACCCACCCTCCTGCTACTATTCTTTCAACCTTTTCATTTACGCAAAGCCTGCCCGTCATTGTGAGTCCAATTCAATATTTGTGACGCCTTCTAACGACGCCCTCTTGTATGCTATTTACCCTTCATTATTTCCCTAGTTTTGAGTTCATTTCTTTTATTTGATCTTGTCTCCATTTCGTCGTATCCAGCGTAGCTGAACCATCTATAATGGGGAAAGCGAATGCTCAAGGAAGAAGTTTAGGTAAGAGCACAGGTTCTCAACTCGAATTATTGAAACAATTTTTTTTAAGGAACAATTTGATTATGAAATTGATGCAGTTTTCATCAATTTTTTATTATTGTTGAAAGGAGCAGCCAGCAGCGTATGATACAAGGCAACACTCCATTCCTTAACAGTCTCCCTCCTCACTTCGACCCTAATGCTTCACAGGAAACCGTAATTCCCACCGTCAGCGCCGCCGTGTCTCTTGCTCTAGGAAGGCTGGTTTTCTCGCCGGCGGCAATTAACTCCTATCACTCGCACCATCGGCCCGATAACAACCCAATCCATTTTCCCCACCCTCAAAGTCCTCGCGCAAGGCAGGAGAGGCAGCCACGGCGGCGGCGGAATTAGGGTTCGCGGCGGAGCAGATCGTAATCATCATCCACTCGATTCCAGCTTCGGCCTCAATTCGTGTCTCGACGAATTAACCCCATTCGATCCAAAATACTCCACGCAGAATCACTGCCGGAACACACTGAAAAGAGTTACATTCCCCAAGGCCAATTTCGGAAGAACAAGTTTCGGTGCGGCGGCGGCGGCGGCGGCAGGATCGGGCCACGGCGAGGGGTAAGCCTTCAAAAATCTCCTGAGTAATCTCCATTTCGGAGCCCCTGATCATACAATATATATGTAATACTCATCGGCTTCTCCAGAGACGGTGGCGCCGCCGACAGTGGATGAAGCCGGGGTTCCGCCGGCGACGGCCTGTTCTCCATAGCAGCTCAATGCTTATTGTGGTCGTTTTTTACTTATATTAGTAGGACAGGTACCGATGCCGACGATGAATCCCTCTGCTAGTATCGGGCACTGCGGCCAGTTGATACTTGAGACGATAACCCTGACCATTTTTCTTCAATTGATGTTACCGGTAGTTGGGATGTTTATCAAGGCATGCCTCTATATAGTCGTAGTGCCGCCTCTAGCATGGTCGTTGTGGCGGCTCTGCCGGTGTCTCTGGCGGCGGTGGACTTCCCGTCGGCTTCCCCCAAGCGGTGGTTCTGATCAGTAGGGAGGTTTCCGGCGGCGATGACGACCAAGGGAATGAAACAAGAAGAAAAATTGTGCAAACACCTCGCAGGTTTTCATTTTATTAGCAATCCTTCTTTCTTGATAACTTGGAATATATAGTTTGAATATACAAATGAATACGAAGCACTGAATGTTCTTGATGAATTTTAGCTATATGCTTGGTAGGAAGTCTTCTTTTAAGATCTTCGATTCGGGATCTGTTTTCGAGTTGAACTAGCTGCTGCTGCTGCTGTTCTTTCCGCAATTCTCTTCTGCCGCTGAAGTGCTAGTTCCTCGATCTTCTTCCTCGCCTCTTCCTCCTGTTTTAGAATCACATTTGTCAGGGTAAGTTTTTCAAAAGCACACAAAGAAGAACAGAATTGAGATTGGAAGTGTTTGCTGTGTTTTCATGACAAAACTTACTCTCTCCAGCTTGCTCTTCTGTGTCAATGGCCGACTCTGCAGCGGAGTTGTTCTCTTCGTGATTGAGTTGATTGTCCCCGTTCTTGCTCTTCCAGGAACTCTCGCCGTTGTGTTCTTCTTGTTCTTGGCATCTGATTTTGTTGAATTCGTTTCGTTCTCTTCCTTGATGGGATTATCGCTGGTCGGTTTCCTGGTGGTACTAGTTGCTTCCATGAATGATAAGTCCATGCTTTGATCTGTACACCAAGCAGTTTCCCTTTCCACCACCATGCAAAGGTCGTCAATCGAGCTTCTAATCTCTTTCTTATCTCCATTTTCGAGTGGGGAAGACAGTGCTGTTAAATCCGCAGACATGGCTATGTCGGTCCTCCATGAAGACTCGTCGTACTGATGAGAAGCAACTTCCAGTGGTCGAGCTTCTAACATGAAGGAATCATCAACAGCCAATCTGTCCCTCTCGGAACTTTCTCTTTTACCCGAGTTGCTGCTTTCCAGTTGCAGGTAATCTCCATTGAGCATTGCTTCATTGTTAACTGATGCACCTTTGATTACAAACCAGTCTTCACCTCCTCTCTTTCCAGGCTTCACCGTGGATGAAGATAGATTTTCATCAGTTATTAGTCCTGTTCCTGATTCGTACACTCCCCGCGAAATGACCAAATCTTGGTCTGCAGAATCCATTCTCTTCTTCACGATTGATCGTTGTTGGTTCCCCACCATGAAATCCTCTTCTAGGCCAGCTCTCTCTCCCCGTGGCTCATCTGATTTCGCCATGAGAAATGAATCCCCTGCAGGAATCCTCTGCTTTGGTAGTTTCTCTGATGATTCCAAATCCGTGGCAGGGTATTCTGGTCCAGTGATGGCTAATACAACAGCCTGCTGCTGCGGCTCCTCCTCCTCGTCTCGCATCAGGAGATTCTGGAAAGCATCCCAGTTGTCGTTCTTTGATGTGTTCATCTTCTTCTCCAGTGATTCCACTACTTGGTTCACAAGCTTGCCTTCATCTTCGCCCGAAAACGAATCTTCCGAGGCTCCATTCCTTTTCTTGGATGTGATGTAGTTGATATTTCTGATGACGACTGTTTTGGACGATGACTTCCTCCTGTGGTGCTTCTTCTTGACTGGAGCATCATCTCCGGGAGAAGAAGGCTGCTGCTGCTTCTTGTCTGACCGAACTTCGGATTCTGAATCGCTTCTGATGGATTCAGAACCGCTGGATTCATCCTCCTCCTCCTCGCTCTCTTCAGTTGAATAGCTTCTTCCTTTCCTGCTGTGATGCTTGCCTGGGCTTGATTTTCTCCGGCTCGTTGGAGGGGATTGCATATTCATAGCATACTGAGGAGGGAAAGGCTGCATAGGAGGATATGGGTAGCCTTGATATGGATGATTCAGGTGCTGGAAATTGTACATGTAAGGAGGCATCATCTGATTCGGCCATGGCATTCCCATTTGAGCTTTTGCATTGGTAGTTTCATCTGTACATTTAACACAAACACACCATTCAATTGTCTGCTATTCCACAAAATACTGAATCAAGTTCATCACTTTCTGCAGCATAGTCAAAACCCTAAGACAACTTCCAAAATTAGTTCCATTCTATGCAAAAAGCTATTTTGTTACTAAGTTCTTAGATTTTACTATGTAGGATATATGGTGGTTACCTTTTTGGCTGTCCAAACTCGATTGTCGAGCAGGAGATGAATCGGCGGCCATTGATCCATCCAGGGCTTCATTAGTCAGCACAATCCCTGAAGCCGGTGAGAATGCAAGTTCAGCTGGCGAGTAAGCCTCCATTGCAGCCAATTCCTTCATCCAGAGACCATCTCCATTCTTCTTCTTGCACAGCTCCTTGAAGTTGACACAAGCCTGCCTTAGCCGCGAAGCTCCAAATGCATCCGCAAAGGAAATCAAATCGTCTAGCCTATCGGGCTCGAACCCTGCCACAAGCCCTCGGGCATACGCCATGGCTTGCTCTCGTCGAAGCATCGATTTCCGGGTCTCGAGAAGCCGCTGGAATTGAACTCTGTTTTGGACGACAATCAAAATTTGTACTAGCTGGAAATTGAAGAATTAGAACTGAAGTTTTTGAAGCAAAATTCCGGGCTTTACTTGGAATTCTCCTGAGGGGGAGGAGCAGGGGATTCCTCATTTCTTTTCTTTCCTTTTCCTTCATCCGGTTCGCCATTTTGACAGAGTGATTCGTTGGCTTGTGCTGAACTCTCGTCAATCTGCAGAATTTCGCTCTCTAACTTAACAAACCTCTCCAGCACTGCAGGGGTACTAATGAACCGCACGAATCTGCAGAGAAAATAATGAAACCCAGATGCTAAATATCATCCACAATCGAGATATCTCCATCAAATTGCAAAATCAAAGAAGAAAGTGAAGTTTTTTTTATAGAGTGGGTTACCTCTGGAAAGTGGATTTGGTGAACCACGGTGCAAACCGAGAAGGAGGGCAGAGCTTGATGGAGTACCCACCTTTCGCAAACTCATCTTTCGCAAATTTGAGATGAGCAACAAAAGGCTCGCACAGCCCAGAAGCCAATTTCTCAGGCTTCCCCCCATAAAACACGATCAGATCACATCTGAAATTAACCACCCAATATCAGGAAACAAAAAAACAGAGCATTAATAACAGAGTAAGTCAACGCTTCCCAAATTCACTTCCAAATTTCACAATCTCAGTGACCCTTTGTTTTCCCCTCTATAATTACCTGGTTCGAGTCGGTGTGAGCTGGAAGAGAGCATAGTCCAGAAGCACAGAGGAATCCATCGGCGATGTTGGGGGAGGAAGAAGAATCCAAATTCCAAACCGTTCCTCTGCCTCGAACCGAAACCAAAACAGGGGAGGGAGAGGAGAAAGAACAAAAAACAGGGGATTCTTCAGAGCGGCATACTATTGATTGATTCACAAGTAAAGAAGAATGGATGGGAGAGAAAGAGATGAGCTTTATGGGAGGTGGAGAGGAAAAAGGAACGTGGGGTGAGAGAAGGAGAGTGTGATCGTTGGTTGGGGGATGTGTGGAATTTTGTTCTCTGCTGAGCTGAAGATGAACTGGCTTGGATGGATGGAGGCGATGAGATGAGAGAGTGAGGAAGGAGTTGAAAAAGAAAGAAAGAGAGAGTGAGAGAGAAGGAAAGGAAAGACAGCAGAAGATGATGGTGACGGTGAGTGGGGCACATGCTCCCATGGCGAAGGTGGCCGTTTTCTTTTTAATTTGGTTTGGCTGACTTTTCTTACTTATTGATTTGAGATTAGGGTGGGCAATAATTCATGTTTAGTCACTAATCTAACTCATTGATTGTAGTAATTAGGTGCATGTGGTGGTATTTGCATTATCATAATCCATGATGAGGGCCTTTTACCTACATGTGATACGATTTTGATTTGAATTAGATGTCTAGTTGTTATGATGTCAATACTAAATATTTATGTTCTTCTATGTGATACGATAATTTTTTTGTACATATGAATTTAGACTTTTATCGGAAGCAATTAATCTCTATCGGTTGCTATTTAACCAAAAAAAAAAAACAGGTTCAAATTTATTTGTTTACAGATAATTTTTTTGGATAAGAAAAGAAATAGGATCCTCCGATTGTAAGTAACTAAATCGTATCGTCTATATTTGAGGGGGGGGAGGGGGGGGGAGGATTACGGTGACAACCACACTACACAAAAATGAAGCCCTTCTTCTTTCCCAAGCAAAAACCATTGCAATATCAATAATCAGATATAGGCACGAACTTGTAAGTCAGATTATTACACACAAAAAAATAAGAAGAATATCGATCTATTGACGAATACCACACAACCGGTTAAGCGAACTACCCATTCTAATATAGCAATATACCATCCTCCAGAAAATAATGTATCTAGTTTTGTTTTCTCTCTCACTTGAATCTTGATGATGGTCTTTTAACTCTTATATGCAGGAAGATATATGCCATGTGAATGGAAGATTAGTAGCAAGACATGTATGTTAATTAATAAGTTTGTTTAACTTAGGTTGGGAGAACAGAATCCTAAGTATCCAACCCCCAATGAAGTAATGAGAATGTGGTGGAATTTGGTTTGGAGTAGTTGGAATTGGAAAGTATTAGGAGACAATTAGCAATTTGATTAATTAAGCTTAAGTACAATTATCATCGACCTAACCCCAAAAAGAGTGGGTGCAGACAGTATCGATCCCATCGTAATCAGCATAATTTGTTGGGACCGTGGGAGCGGGGAAGAAGAAGAAGGCAGCCAGCCATTGGACAGCTAAGCCCGCAAAATCTTTATTGGGCCAAAAATAGACATGTGGGCCCGTCAGCACATTTTTGGCCTCTCTTGTGCCTCGTGAGCTGTAATAACGCCACCAATAAATCAGGGTGCTAACACGGCCTTGTTAATACATTACGTACTAACAGATTGTGTTGTTAGCACGATAGTCCGATTCATCACGAATCGGATTTTCACAAGGCGACTTATTCTATAATAAGTAGATATTAACAAATTATGCATCGTAAAATGGACCTTGCTAAAAGAGGAGATTTGAGGAATTCTTGTATTATGAAATTCATGTATTTCACATTAATTAACACTATTAGACTATGACGCAAGTCTTCTCCTTCATCACACGATAAAACGATAAATGTTTAGTCGATTTCCTTGCTGAAAATACAGAGAAACAACCGCAAGCCGGTGCCAACCGACAAATGGCCTACTTCCAAAGGTGGCGCGGATGGTATTGAGTTATATAATTATGCGGTTTGGTGTCTTTAACTTTCTAATTAGTTTTGACATTTGCTAAAGTTGCCGAATAATTAGACATGAACCAATAGAAAGATTCTCACCGACAACTGAGGTCCAAGTTATATGCATTTAATATTAATTAGTCACCAAGCTTTTCTTAGCAACTTAATCATCATGAATTATGGTGCATTGAGGCAATAACTTAATTTTCTCTAGGGTTAAATTGTCCGGTCAAAGACCATTTAAGTGGGAGAGAGTTGATAAATTGACTAAAATCTCGCCCACATGAAGATCTTCACATGTAATGTGTGCAATTGTTTGGTCCTGTCTCGTTATGAATTAGAATCGAACCGGATCAAATATAAAAGAACATTGGGCAATGTCTATTTTTTACCCAAACCTTTTTCAGATTCTTTTATTTTAACCAAACCTATAAAAATTCTATTTATTATCCAAACGTATTATAATTTATCAAAGTCTGGGCATTCATTATGTTACCATTACTTATTTCGTTCACGTGAGGAGTGAGATTTTGTTTTGTTTTTTGATAATCTTTTTATTAAAAATAGTAGATGATGGTATTCTGACCGCCACGTAGGAAGTCAACTCATTATGGTCATACTTAGTCAGCATTACTAACAGAAAAGTTGACGGAGAGTTAACGTTTGGATAATTTTTAGGAATTCAATAGGTTTGGTTAAAATAAAAGAATCCGAAAAAGGTTTGGGTAAAAAATAGACATTGCCCAAGAACATTTTATGATGAGAATCGAATCAAAAGTGTGTTTGGTTCAATTTTAGTAAACATTGATTCATACTTCTCTTCTTTGGTATAAAGTGAATTAATGTAATGAAAACTATATCATGTCATGTTCGATATTATGTGAATCGTGTGAAGCAAGTCGTCGTTGCACACTCCTAACTATAAAAGTACGAGAGAGGGATGAATTTGCGTCGGAGTAGTTGGAGTTGTGGGAAGCATCTAGAGGACCATTAGGAGGTTTAGCTAATTTGAATTGCTATTTATAGCCCTAGCTTTTTCTTATTTATTTATAGCCCTAAGAGAATGTAATTACTATTTTACCCTTCCTTCCTTTTAAAATATTGAACTTGTTACAACTCCAACCATACACTCCCTTCCCTACCAATTCACCTCGCCGGATTCCTCCCAGATTCCTCCCAAATATTCTCGCCGGCGACGACGACCACTCGCCGGCGACGACGAGCTCTCGCCGGCGACGACGAGCTCTCGCCGGAGACGTGACTCGCCCCATCTCTCCTGTCGCCGGTTTCCTCTCAAATACGACGACCACCTCTCGCCGGAGACGACGACCTCTCGCCGGAGACGACGTACTCATTAAATTATCAACAACACAACGTTGTTAACAATTATTCAATATTTGAACATTAACTAATCCAATACATTTTCAATAAAAAATTAGCACATTTAACATGATTAACTACCAAATCCTAATATTTTAACATGCAACAAGTAGACACGTACTAATTAAATTATCAACAAGATAGTAAAATCAATAATTCAACATTTTTCAAACAATATGTATCATTGTAAAGCAAATATTTAAGCATATTATCAATTACTAGACTTCATCATAACAATAAATAATTCAACATGATTCCAAAATTAAAAAGTTTAACTCACTAACCGTGTTACTCATTATCTGATGTAGTGATATCCGGAAGTCCGAACTTGACCAACTTCAAGAAATACATACAAAAAAAATAGTTTCAGTAATACTAACATAGTTTCAAAATATAAAAAAATGAAATTCAAGAAATTCATTCTAAAAATAATATTATAGCAAATCCATCCTAAAAAATATGATAATTACAATATCATAAAATAATAAACTACAATAAAATCGCTAAATATTCTTCAAAGTCTAAATTATTGTTAGTAAACATTAACTTAGTTTCAAAATAATAAAAAATGAAGTTAAAGAACTTCATTCTACAAATAATATTATAAAAAATCCTAATAAAAATATGGTAATTACAATATTCATAAAATAATAAATTACAATAATAAAAACACTACATATTCTTAAAATATGGCAATTAAAAGTCTAAATTCAGGAAACATTAACTTAGTTTCGAAATATGAAAAATAAAAATTCAATAACTTCATTTTAAAAATAATATTAGAACAAATTTTTCTAAACAATATGATAATTAAAAAATCTAAAATAAGAACCGAAAATCTAAATTAATATATTTTAAAAATCTAATATACTTCACAAATTTAAATTAACAAAAAATTAAAAATAAAATAATTCTCCGGCGACGTCCCGGCAGGACGTTCGTCCGTCGCCGGCGACGTCCCGGCCGGACGTTCGTCCGTCGTTGTCGGGTTATTTGCCGACGTACCTCGTCGGAGAAAGGAGTTGTCGTCGTCGGAGGTGGCGATCGACGGCGGGGGTGGCGGTCGCCGGCGGGGGTGGCGGTCGCCGGCGGGAGGTGGCGGTCGCCGGCGGCGAGTGTTGTTGGATTGTGTTTGGAAAAGTGTTTGAATGTTTTGGTCTTGGAATGTGTAAAGTAAATGTATTTAAATGTTATGAGTATTATTGTACTTTTTATAATTTAGGGCTACAAACAAAAATAATTTAGGGCTACAAATAGTACGACCCTTAGCTAATTAATTAAGCTAGGTTAAGAACCATTTCAATGAATTGCCAATAATTAAAAGAAAAAAACAGCTAATTAAGCCAAGCAAACCTTATTTGGATCAGAAGAGACATGTTGGGCCTTTTGGACATTTTGGCCTCTGGCTCTTTGTGACCTACTCTGAGCTGTGATAAAAGCATAAATGGGCCCTCATCAATCACAGTCCAGAAAAACGGCTACGCGATGATTACTTGATTAGATATGAACAACCGCCAAGATACAAACAGCCACTCGAGTTTAAATCAAACAGATCATATGCTTCTAAGAAATGGAACAAACAAGTAATATGTTATTGTTGGATTCTGTGTGTTTCTGCAATGCATGTATTCCAGAGAATACACTGCTTTCCCTGTAATAATGTAAGGATTGCAAGCATGGAAACAAGTATTTCCATAGTCGGTGCCAACCGACAAAATGGATTCTAGACAAGGTGGCGGATTTATATCAAATTGAATTATTATTAGTTTGTTAAACATAAATAAATTATGAATGAAATACTATGACATCTTATTATTTACGCTGTAGACTAATCAGACCACTTTAAGATGTATTAACTAATGTAAAGCACTAAACCCTAAAAATTCAAGTAAATTTCAGATAGATTTTCATACAAATTCATCTATTTTCTTGTTTATCCTATTACCGTTGACAATTGAAATAACGTGAA